AATAATCTTAGCAACTGCAAAATTTCTCGCACAATAATAACGAATAGGTCTTAACAAATATAGCCCAAACTATTCACGAAGGACTCATTTTGCCCATTTGAGAGCCAAAAAAACATCTTGATCAACACAAGTACATAAAAATCCAAATTCGAAACTAACCCAAAAAAAAAAAATTCGGCTTTGAAACAAGGAACAAAAATTTACTGCTAAATAAAGTGATTCGTGTAAACCAACCGGAATGCTTGTAGGAGTGGAGATTGTTAGGCTCCTTGCTGAACACAACTCCGGCAGTTCCATTCACAAACTCCTTCACCAAAACGAATTGTTCTTCTTCACAATCTCCAATATCAGCTGCCCAAAACAGTCCCCATTCGTATGTATATACACAAAGTTAAGCAAAGTAGAGATTGGCAATTACCGAAAGCGTCTCTAGGGTTTTACTCCCGCGGCTTAAGGAAAGGGTGAGACGAAGCAAAGGCGAGATATGTACTATGGTTTTAAAACGCTATAGGTCCCTGGTATGGTTGTGTGCGCCAGAGGATGAGGAAGGGTGCCCAGTGGTTCGCGACCATGGGTACACCGGACGGAGGAGGAATCGCTATTTTTGGGAGTCTGCTTTGTGACATTCACAACTGGGCATCTTTCTGGAAAAGATACGTGCAGCTGGAGGGATGATTAGGATGAATTGAGACCTTGGTAATGGTCGTCTGAGCAAGGGGCATCGACTGGTATCGGTCCGACGTCATGGGTGTGGCCGGAAGTTGTGATTGAGGAGAGAAAGAGGGAGACGATACAGAGAGACACAAGAGGAGACTGAGGAGAGAAAGTGAGAGAAATAGAGAGGTCGTATTATTAGGGTTTGTATAAAAATGAACTTTTTTTCGCAATGTTTATCAAATGTGGCAAAAGAAAAGCCTTTTGCAACGTTTATCAATCGTTGCAAAAAGTCTTTTTGCAACATTTAACAAACATTGCAAAAGAAAAGCCTTTTGCAACGCTTGTCAAACGTTGCAAAAAGTACTTTTCGCAACGTTTGACAAACGTTGAAAAATGCTGAAAGTATTGAAAAATGCTGAAAGTACTTTTCCTGTCAAATGCTGAAATTAATATAAAAAGGTCAATCATTCACGCCCATCAAATTAGTAGAAAGTGTAGCCAAATCCTCCAAATTCAACTGGAATTTGAGAGGTGAAGATGTTTACGCCGTCAATCAACGGGTGATATAAACAATAAATAAAAAACAGAAAATGTTTTCACCATCAATCGATCGGTTAAATCAAAAAACTTTAAAAAAAACTGAAAAAAATATTTTCTAGCTTCAACTAGGCAGTAAGTTAGTGACAACAAATGTTTGGAGAGTTTTATGCGAAGCCATAATCTAACTGCTGGAGTAGTATTGTGTCATGATGTTTTATGGAGATTTTGAATTTCTAATAGGATTTTGTGGAAAAAAATTGTGAAATATATTTCCAAGGGGATACGATGGATTTTCTCGGGGCACAGAATACGGATTTTTACTAAATTTGTGCACACACATTGCACGTTATATATATTTGATCCATGTGTATTTTAAATATATTTATTTAATTTTCACGCCCGGCTTGGACCCCTCGCCACCTTCTGAATTGTCTCGAGTCTTTGGCAATATTTTACAAGCTGCTTTTCCATTGCTCATATTTCTTTCAGCTGCCGTTTCTGAAGTAGAGCGCTCATATGCACTTTGTGAGCCAACTTTAAACTGGTGCTGGCTAGTGGCATCTTTCTGTTGGGGAAAAGTAGGCTCCTCCTGAGGCATGCCGGGTGAATTGACTTCATATTCACTGAAGAACTTTCTACTGTTTGATTGATTGTTATGTAATCCTTGTTGTGACGGCTGTTGTGGCAGCTGATGCGTGAACCGTGAAGTAACATTGTTGACAGTGTTTTTAATCCCAGACGGTCACCCGACATTTGGTACTTCAGATATTCCAGCGGCTTTACGTTTATTGTCTTATTACACCCACTTTTCACAGTCTGTAAGAACTGCTCGACCATCAACAATCTGCACAAAAGCATCCTCCGTGCCACCAAATATGTTTTCATCATGATGAAGTAAGAAAGCAAATTTTCAAAAATTCTCTTCTATTGATGCTTCATCGGCCATTCTCTCGATTTTGAGAATACTGTACCTGTCTTTTTCACCCCCATAAACCCTAGTCTCAGCAAAACAATGTAAATTACAAACCAAAATAATCTGAGAAATGTTCTTTAGATCAGGATAGATGTGTTGGGCCTTCATTGCAACCTTCCGTGCTCCAGTAAAATTCTTATCTTCTATCTTTTTTTGTGTAATATCTTTAGCCCTAATGGCGACTTCTTTGTTACAATCCATTGCTGCTGATACGGAACACGGAGAAATCTCATGGAAAAATATCCACACGGCAAGGAAGAGTCCCTACAAATTAACATTATCCTCAGTCTGATCTAAGATCTATAATTAAGAAGGAAATGGAAGTATAAAGCCTAACAAATACACCCTTTAGTATACTCACATTTATATGCTCCTTATACATAAAATACCAAAAATGATGAATTAAAATCACAAAAAATTTATTAGAATGTGTGCCTCACATTCATCAGTAAATTCAAGCTTGTGCATAATTAGAAGATAATCATTGATTTGTAAGATTATTGATTCAAAGGGAATAAACTTACCAGATTCACACAAGACTTACCGGTTTTGTAAGAGCTTACCAAATTGGCAAGGAGCTTACCGGTTTTGCAATAAAACACAACTTACAGGATTTACACCAAGCTAACCATATTTGCAGTATGCTTACCCGATTTACTTGATGCTTACCGGTTTTGACAGAGAAAGAGAATACTCTGTTTCTAAAGAAGAAAGAATGGAGAAGGAAGAAGCTGCTGTAGATTTTGCTAATTTTGGTGATTATCTGCAACATGAGCCTACTGCTGTGTTTTATTTCCCTTTTCTGGTTTTGCACACCCTTTTCAACATGGCCAAATTACTTGCAACCTCTACACTGAACTTCAGGCCTATACCAACACAATTTAGGAGAATGGCCTTTTCTTTTACAATGAGGACAAGGTGCAAACGTATCCTCTTTGTTTCCAGTTCTGCTGCCTTCAGATTCTTTCTTCTCAGCCTAAGGTTTCTTCACACCAAAGCTCGTTTGAGCTTTGTATTTTCCTTTTGCGAACAAAGCTCCTTCTGTTTGTTCCTCCTGCCTCATGAGCCTTCTTTGTTCAGTTGCTTGCAGTGCGTTCACCAATTCAGCTAAGGTTATAGATGACAGGTCTCTAGAATCCTCCAATGAAGATATCTTGGCTTCAAACTTTTTAGGATGGCTTATTAAAACCTTCTCCACCACTCTTTTATTCAGTAAATCATCTCCCAGAAGTCTGAT